TCCGTTGATGTAAATGGGGTGTGTTCTCCTCGTTTCTTTCTGAAATCATGATCAGTTCTTTAGTTTTGCCGACGTTCAGAGACAGTTTGTTTTCATTGCACCATGTCACGAAGCCCTCCATCTCCCTTCTGTATTTTGACTCATCGTTGTTAGATATCCATCCCACTACTGTGGTGTCGTCAGCGAACATGCACAAGATGTTTATTTGGAATTTAAAATAACACAGTCATAGGTGTACAGGGAGTACAGTAGGAGGCTGAGGATGTAGCCTTGGGGGGCTCCAGTGTGGAGTGTTATTGTGGAGGAGATGCAGTTACCTATCCTCACTGATTGCGGCCTATGGGTCAGAAAGCTGAGGATCCAGCTGCAGAGGACAGAGCCAAGACCAAGGTTACATAGTTTTGAGATAAGTCTGGAGGGGATAATGGCACTGAAGGCAGAGCTGTAGTCAACGAGCAGCAGTCTGACATAGGTGTATTTGTTGTCCAGATGTTCTCGGGATGAGTGCAGGACTAGGGATAAAGCATCCTCTATGGATTTGTTACGTCGGTAGGCAAATTGTAGGGAATCGAGGCAGGATGGGAGACTGGAGCTGATGTAGGCCAAGACCAGCCCTTCGAAGCACTTCATGATTATTGAAGTCAGAGCTATTGGGCGGTAATCATTAAGGCATACTGTATGTGTTTTCTTGGGTACGGGGGTGATGGTGGTCTTCTTGAAGCAGGTGGGGACTTCGGCTTGTAGGAGGGAGAGGTAGAAGATGTCGGTGAATATCTCTGCCTGTTGGGCTGCACAGGATCCGAGTGCTCAGCCGGGGACACTGTCTGGGCCTGTTGCTTTCCGTGGGTTGACTCTCAGGAAGACTGATCGGACTTCTGAAGCGGTCACAGAGGGAACTGGCCTGTCTGGGGTTATTGGGGCAGGTGTCGCCATGCTGGTGGTATTCTGCCCAAACCAAGTATAGAAAGCATTGAGCGTGTCAGGGAGGGATGGGTCATTGTCTGCTATCTTACATGGTTTCATTTTATATCCTATAATGTCATTTAGGCCTTGCCATAGACAGCGGAATTCTGTTTGGTAGGTTTGGGTCTCTAACTTGGTCCGGTATGGCCCCTTGGCCTCCCTGATGGCTTTTCCTGGATTTTCTGTATTTGTCCAGGTCACCTGACTAGAATGCTGCCCATCTGGTTTTCAGTAGGGAGTGGATTTCCTGGTTCATCCAAGTTTACGGTTGGGGAACACTCGGATAGACTTCTTTGGTTCACAGTCCTCCTCACATTTGCTAATGAAGTCCGTGACGGTGGTGGCATACTCGTTTAGGTTTTCCGCTGAATGCTTGAACATGGTCCATTCCACAGAATCCAAGCAGTCCCGGTGACAGTGTTCCGCTGTCTTGGACCAGCACTGTACTACTTTTCGTGAAAGATTTTCCTGTTTCTGCTTCTGTACAATTACTAGTCTTTCGTTACTGTCATCAAGACAGGGTTCACCTCAGGGGGACAACACAGTGTGGAGTTGGAGGAACACAGCAGGCCAGACAGCATCAAAGGAGCAGGCAAGTTGACATTTCAGGTCGGGACCCTTCTTCAGAAATGGGGTTCACCTCAGGGGGTTTGGTTCATTAACACTGCCCTGTCAAGTGGCAGGAAGTCAACTCAAATGTGATGGAAGTTTCCTATCCGAGTGAGATTAGACAGCTTGAGATCTGCTCTTCATGAGTTCTAGGTCAACGCTAACGCATTTTTGTGTTGCCTCAGAGGTCTCGTCTGTGCCATTTTATGTAGGAACCTTTGACGGTGAGAGAATCAATACTATGTTTGAAGTGAAACTACATACAAAGACACATTCATGGAACTTTGTAAATGGGGCTCTGGTTCTGCACTGCCCACTTGATGCTGGACACGTAAGTTTTAAAGGGGAAAATTGTAATTTCCCAGTGAAAGTGCAAATATTTCACTGGATAGGAAATCAATAGGATCAGGTGGAACACAATGTTGAAACCAGCTCAACAATACTTTAGCTTCATAGTTGAAATGGGGATGTCTAGCCAGTCTGTGTCCCAAGCCATAAGGTGACTGAATAATCCTATTTCGGTCAAAAACAAAAATGTTTGAATCTCTTTGTTGGTTCATTGAGCAGTTAACTCTTTTTCTGCACTAATGCACCACAGATGGAAATCTGCTTTCACAAGGAAGCTAGTCCATACTACAGACTACTACCAGCAGCCTGTAACCTGTCTTTCCACAAGAAAGATTGAACAGAAATTTCACCAAATGTAAAAGCTGACCTACATTGGGGGCTCATGAAAGCAGTCAGAGCCCATGATGAGTAAGAAAAAAATCTTCCATGGTATTTCTGAGATGAGAAAGTTTCCGACCCTTGGGCTTACACATCAGGTCAGACACAGGGCAATACCAATCACCACTCTATAATAGTTACTCACCCTTACTTCAAGTCTATCTACTGCTAAACCCTTCTCTGTGACTATCATTCCCAAATGATGATATTTCACCGCTGTCTTGGCTATCTTTTCTTTATTCTGTCCATCCAGAATGCCGACGTCCTGATGATATCTTGAAGCAATACATACCCTGAGCAATCATTATAATGCTCGCCAACTCACGCAGTCTCCAGCCTCCCCGATTTCTCAAATGGAATATTATCAAGCTTGTGTTAAACCTCCGACAATTCACTAAACTTACATTGACCCTGGCCATTTATCTCTTCATTCCACCATCTGGGGTCATCCCAGATGGAACCCATATTCTGTATCCCTCGCCCACATTTTTTTGGTTCCTGGCCTCTTTAACCAATTCTCAGGCCCAACCTCTCTTTTGTCAACATTACTACTGTTTGTTTGATTTTGCTTCCATGGAGCTCTCTGGTGCATTTCAGAAAACACGAGCTGGAAAGATGCTCTACAATTTGCTAAATGAAGTCAATTTCCCAACAGGGCAAAGCTGGCTGAAGGTGACGAAACCCAGCCAAGAGGTGGGTCTGGTACAGGAATCCATTCTCAGATGCCCTTGACACCACAGCTGCCTTTAATGTACTGCTCCTTACCCAGCAGCTTGCAACTGAATAAACTTCATGTCCACAAAGTCCTATCACTTTAATCAGTCAGGACAGAGCTTTTCAACATACAGTCTAAACTGTAACTCCTCATCATTACAAGGTATGCCAGTTCTGTACTCTTTAAATATGGTATCTGAAGACAGGGAGTGTACAAATCACTTCATCTCACTATTAGCCAGAGAGCCCATGCGAAAGAGTTTCTCAAAGGTTGTGGTGCATCAGTACTACAGAGGTCTTTTATGTGGTTTCATTAGAGAGAATCACTTTTCATTATTAGAGGCACAACAGGATATTCTCAGAACTCACGCAAGTTCAGGCTGAACCATACCTTTTGTAATTGCACAATGTGATGAAATAAGAACATTTGTAAACTCATGTACTTTCCTCAATAAACACAGAAACCAATGGTCTAATTCTAGAAAGTCACTTCTTCACAAATAGATTTAATAAGTTCAGTCTTTACCATAAGTGCAGCACCACAACCAGATCAGACTGCTTGAATTTCCAATCTAATGCAACATTAAACATGTGAGAGGGGTTCGGGCCATTCAGTCCATCAAGCCCTTGATTGTTGACTATATGCAATCTGCATGGCGGAAATCCATTCAATGCAATTAAATTGCAAGGTAGAATTCTCACAAATCTTGTCCTGTCCCCACTTGGAAAGCAACCAAAGCATAAGACACTGAACTCCATATCCTTGAGAAAGTAAATATTGCATAGCCAGTCACCTCTCCACTCGTCACTATAACTCTCAATTCCATTTTCCCTACACAGTATTACTCCAGCTCCTCCTCTTGATGTGTTATTCAAATCATCATCAGTTGCTCACATTTGGGGAAAGAATCATTTGCAGTCTGATCAAATTGCCTCTCAAACATTGCAAACAATGTTCAGTTCAATGACATCTCAATCTAAGGACCTTCTGTTCCAGGAAGATCTTCAGAGATGATTTAAACAGCTTGAAATCTAAACATGGTTGGCTAAATCACTCTTGCTATTCCAAGGACAGTCTTTCTGTGGCTCTCAGACTAGAATTAATTCTGGTGAATAGCAAAATGTGTTCAGATACAAGCTGATAGTCAAACACTTTGATAACTGTTCACACTTCTTCAAATAGTCAGCATTAAACATTTCGCCCACAAACCTTCTCTTCAGTTCAGGAACCAGTCATTACAAACTGCATTCTCCCTCCTCTGCAATCCCCAAATTAAATTTTAGACCATAAAATGTGGGAGCGGAACTTGGCCAATCAGTTCATTGAGTCTGCTCTGACTAGTTCCTTGTAAAAGTAAAGGCATTCCTTAGATCAGTGTTCACAAGAACATATGAATGAGGAGCAGCAGCAGACCATTTGCCCCATTCAGTCTTTGCCATCATTCAATAAGATCATGGCTGATCAGATTATTCGTCTACCCTGATGACCTCTCACCCTTTGCTTAGCAAGAATCTATCTTCACCTACACTAAAGATATTCAAACACTTTGCTCGAGGAACAAAGTTCCATAGACTGTCAATCCTCGGAAAAAAATGTTGATCTATCTTATACAGGTGACTCCTAGTTCTAGATTCACCCATAAGAGGAAGCATCCCTTCCACAAAGCCCCTCAGGATTTTATATGTTTCAAACAAAATTCAGATTCCAAGAGTTTTAATCCATCCTCCTCAACTGGATGGGCATCTAGAGCTGAAAGGTCAATGTACTGATTCAGTTGTGATATTTTATTCTCCACTACAAATTAACTCAACTGTAAACATCAAGTGTGACATCTTGTGGCAGATCAGAAAATACCAACAGGCTATACATCTAGAATTGTTTGCACCTTCTCTTCCCTAATTGGATAGTGTGGGGTGTTAGCTGGGAAGCTTTTTCAACTGCTTGCTTACATGACGCTCTCCGCTGACAATCTCCACGGGGAACTTACTTGTGTCTCTTGGCTCCATGTAAAAGGGTGTCGTGCTTTTCATAAATCTGAAGCTCCTGTCCCTCTTCTTGAATGGTATCAGGATCCTCTGTTGCCAGAATATCAACAGCACTGCCCAGGGGTAAGGCTAAAAAAAATGGCAATGATCAGATTTAGAATCAGCAGTGTCCCAAGCCATAAGGTGACTGAATAATCCTATTTCGGTCAAAAACAAAAATGTTTGAATCTCTTTGTTGGTTCATTGAGCAGTTAACTCTTTTTCTGCACTAATGCACCACAGATGGAAATCTGCTTTCACAAGGAAGCTAGTCCATACTACAGAGATTGAAGATCAAGAGATTGAAGTCATTAACCTTCCAATTGCAAAGTATCATTTCTCAAACACAAATGATAGGTCCACTGCCAGCTACCGATGGTTGCACAAGTAAGAAGTAGAAATCAAACTCTTTGACGTTGCAGTACAGGGGACGGTGACGTGGTGGTAATCTCACTTATCTGTAATCCAGATGCCCCAGACAATTTGTGGAGGAGATAGCAGGAACTGCAGATGCTGGAGAATCCGAGACAACAAGGTGCAGGGCTGGATGAACACAGCAGGCCAAGCAGCGTCATAGGGGCAGAGAGGCTGACGTTTCGGGCCTAGACCCTTCATCAGAAAAGGGGGAGGGGAAGGGGGTTTTGAAATAAATAGGGAGAGAGTGGGAGGCGGATAGAAGAGGGAGTTGCAGTGGGAGAGAGATCCCTTGAGGTTTGTCCGGAGGGAGGAGGGTAACTTCTTCAGGTTAGGCATCCTTAGAAGAGGCTTCGCAGTGGACTGGTTTAAATCCCATCTCGACAATATTATTTAAACTTGATTAATAAATCTGGAATGTAAAGCTAAACTCAGTGACAGTGACCCCAACACCCATCAGGTTCACAAAGAGGAGCTGTCCTTAGCTAGTCTAGCCCATGTGACTCCTAACCCAGAGCAAACATAGTTGACACTCGGTTCAAGAGAAATTAAGGATGGGTAACCAATGCTGCTCTGGCCAGTGATGTCCATACTGCTTCAAAAACATCCCACATCAAATTTGATGTTCTAAATGTTTGCGGTACTGCTTGTTAATTGCGGTTCATATACAAGGTCTCTAAAATCCCTCTCAGCATCAACATTAAATAATTCCTCACCACCTAAAAAATTGCTTTCATTCTTCTTATTAAAATGAAGTCTCAGATTCTCCTACATTATACTCCACTTGCCATTGTTTTTTTATCTCCCATTTCTCCATATCACTTTCCCATCTAGCTCAGTTGGCTGAATGGCTGGTCTGTGATGCAGAGTGACACCGACAGGGTGGGTTCAATTCCCACACTGGCTGAAAGGACTATGACGGACTATCCTTCTCAACCTTGCCCCTCACCTAAGGCATGGTGACCCTGAGGTTAAACTGCCACCAGTCACGTCTCTCTATAATGAAAGCAGCAGCCCTGCTTCGGTAAGACTACGGCAACTTGAATTTTACCTTACCCACCCAGCTTTCCACCGCTGGAAAATGTACATGCATTATCCTCAGTTTCTTCATTTCAGTCACGAATTGCAAATAGGCTGAGATCCCCAGCATGGATCCTCGCAGAGAGCCCACTATTAAAATGCTGCCAATCTGAAAATGAAAAATTTCTTTCCTTTTTTTAAACCTTTAACCAATTCCTCAGTCATGCTCATCAGCAAGTACCTGGGCCCTTAGTTTGTGCGGTGTTTTGGTTGGCACGTAATTGAATGCTTTTTGAATATCCAAATATATTAAATTCAGAGGCACCCCTAGTTATACTCTGTTAGCTTTAATATTAAAAAGTAATTGTGGGTCAAACTTAACAGACTTTTCAGAAAACCATGTCAAATCGGTGATGTTTGTTTTTGTTAAAATGGCTTATTACTATTTGCTGAACTTACCATCACCATCCTGTTCCCCCGTAGCCCGATACCTGTGCATTCGCAGCACATGCTCAGAAACCGCTCGGTCCTGTTCTGGGTCCATTTGGTCCAGCATAATGAAAAGCAGGTCGAAACGGGACAGCAGGGAATCCTGGAGGCCGATGTTTTCCATTGGAGTTTTGTACTGGTTATACTGGCAAGGAAAGGGGAGGCAAAGAAGGAGCAAATCAGCCAAGAGAAACAAACACTAACGTATGTCGACGATATCCACCACAACAAGACGGGGACTTGATAGAACAGGACTAGTCCCATTCCACAAGAGACTGGCCCAAAGTATGGAGAGAGTGGGAGGCGGATAGAAGATGGATAGAGGAGAGGATAGGTGGAGAGGAAACAAACAGGTCGAAGAGGCGGGGATGGAGCCAGTAAAGGTGAGTGTAGGTAGGGAGTTAGGAAGGGGATAGGTCAGTCCAGGGAGGACGGACAGGTCAAGGGGGCGGGATGAGGTTGGTCGGTAGGAGATGGAGGTGCGGCTTGAGGCGGGAGGAGGGGATAGGTGGGAGGAAGAACAGGTTAGGGAGGCAGGGACGAGCTGGACTGGTTTTGGGATGCGGTAGGGGGAGGGGAGATTTTGAAACTTGTGAAATCCACATTGATACCATTGGGCTGCAGGGTTCCCAAGCGGAATATGAGTTGCTGTTCCTGTAACCTTCGGGTGGCATCGTTGTGGCACTGCAGGAGGCCCAGCATGGACATGTCGTCTGAGGAATGGGAGGGGGAGTTGAAACGGTTTGCGACTGGGAGGTGCAGTTGTTTATTGCGAACCGAGCGTAGGTGTTCTGCAAAGCGGTCCCCGAGTCTCCGCTTGGTTTCCCCGATGTAGAGGTAGCCACAACGGGTACAGCGGATGCAGTATACCACATTGGCAGATGTGCAGGTGAACATCTGCTTGATGTGGAAAGTCTTCTTGGGGCCTGGGATGGGGGCAGGAGTAGCACTTCCTGCGGTTGCAGGGAAAAGTGCCGGGTGTGGTGGAGTTGGAGGGGAGTGTGGAGCGGACAAGGGAGTCACGGAAAGAGTTGTCCCTCCGGAAAGCAGATAAGGGTGGGGAGGGAAAGATGTCTTTGGTGGTGGGGTCGGATTGCAGATGGCGGAAGTGTCGGAGGATGATGCGTTGGATCCGGAGGTTGGTGGGGTGGTACGTGAGGACCAGGGGGATTCTTTTTTGGTTCTTATTGCGTGGACGGGGTGGGAGGGATGAGGTGCGGGAGACACGGTTGAGGGCGTTCTCGACCACCGAGGCGGGGAAGTTACGGTCCTTGAAAAACGAGGACAACTGAGATGTACGGGAGTGGAATGCCTCATCCTGGGAGCAGATGCGGCGGAGGCGAAGGAATTGGGAATAGGGGATAGCTTTTTTGCAGGAAGGTGGGTGGGAGGAGGAGTATTCTAGGTAGCTGTAGGAGTCGGTGGGCTTGAAATGAATATCGGTTTCTAGGTGGTTGCCCGATATGGAGACAGAGAGGTCCAGGAAGGGGAGAGAGGTGTTAGAGATGGTCCAGGTAAACTTAAGGTTGGGGTGGAAGGTGTTAGTGAAGTGTATGAACTGTTCGAGCTCCTCGTGGGAGCACGAGGCGGCGCCGATACAGTCATCAATGTAACGGAGGAAGAGGTGGGGTTTAGGGCCGGTGTAGGTACGGAAGAGGGATCGTTCCACGTAACCTACAAACAGGCAGGGTACCCATGGCTACCCCCTTTGTCTGCAGGAAGTGGGAGGAATTGAAAGAGAAGTTGTTGAGTGTGAGGACGAGTTCGGCTAAGCGGATGAGGGTATCAGTGGAGGGGGACTGGTCGGGCCTGCGGGACAGGAAGAAGCGGAGGGCCTTAAGGCCATCTGCATGGGGAATGCAGGTGCAGAGGGACTGGACGTCCATGGTAAAGATGAGGTGTTGGGGACCGGGGAATTGGAAGTTCTGGAGGAGGTGGAGGGCGTGGGTGGTGTCACGGACATAGGTAGGGAGTTCCTGGACCCATTGTCTCCGCCTGCTCCTGCCCCACCGAACTGATCTCCAACTATCTAGACTCCATTTTCTCCCCCTTGGTCCAGGAACTCCCTACCTATGTCCGTGACAGCACCCATGCCCTCCACCTCCTCCAGAACTTCCAATTCCCCGGTCCCCAACACCTCATCTTTACCATGGACGTCCAGTCCCTCTACACCTGCATTCCCCATGCAGATGGCCTTAAGGCCCTCCGCTTCTTCCTGTCCCGCAGGCCCGACCAGTCCCCCTCCACTGATACCCTCATCCGCTTAGCCGAACTCGTCCTCACACTCAACAACTTCTCTTTCAATTCCTCCCACTTCCTGCAGACAAAGGGGGTAGCCATGGGTACCCGCATGGGCCCAAGCTATGCCTGCCTCTTTGTAGGTTACGTGGAACAATCCCTCTTCCGTACTTACACTGGCCCTAAACCCCACCTCTTCCTCCGTTACATTGATGACTGTATCGGCGCCGCCTCGTGCTCCCACGAGGAGCTCGAACAGTTCATACACTTCACTAACACCTTCCACCCCAACCTTAAGTTTACCTGGACCATCTCTAACACCTCTCTCCCCTTCCTGGACCTCTCTGTCTCCATATCGGGCAACCACCTAGAAACCGATATTCATTTCAAGCCCACCGACTCCCACAGCTACCTAGAATACTCCTCCTCCCACCCACCTTCCTGCAAAAATGCTATCCCCTATTCCCAATTCCTTCGCCTCCGCCGCATCTGCTCCCAGGATGAGGCATTCCACTCCCGTACATCTCAGTTGTCCTCGTTTTTCAAGGACCGTAACTTCCCCGCCTCGGTGGTCGAGAACGCCCTCAACCGTGTCTCCCGCACCTCATCCCTCCCACCCCGTCCACGCAATAAGAACCAAAAAAGAATCCCCCTGGTCCTCACGTACCACCCCACCAACCTCCGGATCCAACGCATCATCCTCCGACACTTCCGCCATCTGCAATCCGACCCCACCACCAAAGACATCTTTCCCTCCCCACCCTTATCTGCTTTCCGGAGGGACAACTCTCTCAGTGACTCCCTTGTCCGCTCCACACTCCCCTCCAACTCCACCACACCTGGCACTTTTCCCTGCAACCGCAGGAAGTGCTACTCCTGCCCCCATACCTCCTCCCTCACCCCCATCCCAGGCCCCAAGAAGACTTTCCACATCAAGCAGATGTTCACCTGCACATCTGCCAATGTGGTATACTGCATCCGCTGTACCCGGTGTGACTTCCTCTACATCGGGGAAACCAAGCAGAGGCTCGGGGACCGCTTTGCAGAACACCTACGCTCGGTTCGCAATAAACAACTGCACCTCCCAGTCGCGAACCATTTCAACTCCCCCTCCCATTCCTCAGACGACATGTCCATGTTGGGCCTCCTGCAGTGCCACAACGATGCCACCCGAAGGTTGCAGGAACAGCAACTCATATTCCTCTTGGGAACCCTGCAGCCCAATGGTATCAATGTGGATTTCACAAGTTTCAAAATCTCCCCTCCCCCTACCGCAACCCAAAACCAGTCCAGCTCGTCCCTGCCTCCCTAACCTGTTCTTCCTCCCGCCTATACCCGCCTCCCACCTCAAGCCACACCCCCTTCCCCTACCGACCAACCTCATCCCGCCCCCTTGACCTGTCCGTCCTCCCTGGACTGACCTATCCCCTTCCTAACTCCCTACCTACACTCACCTTTACTGGCTCCATCCCCGCCTCTTCGACCTGTTTGTTTCCTCTCCACCTATCCTCTCCTCTATCCATCTTCTATCCGCCTCCCACTCTCTCCCTATTTATTTCAAAACCCCCTTCCCCTCCCCCTTTTCTGATGAAGGGTCTAGGCCCGAAACGTCAGCCTCTCTGCTCCTATGATGCTGCTTGGCCTGCTGTGTTCATCCAGCCCTGCACCTTGTTGTCTCGGATTCTCCAGCATCTGCAGTTTCTACTATCTCTGGCCCAAAGTATTGTTCTCCTCATTGCCTTTAATTAGTGCTGAAGGTACAGAACGAATTACTGCCCCAAACAACCACTGTCTGTCCTTTACGGTGGAATAAATAAATAGCATCAATGCAGTTTTGGCTGGATTGGAACTGATTTATAATTTGAAGATTTAAGCGTTGATGCTGCCATTTCAAAACACAATAGACAGTACAAAAACTGCAAACTTCAACAAAACATCTCACTCAGCATAAATCCAAGGAGTTCACAAAATAACACTTGTTCTAGTGAAAGGTCATCAACATGAAACATTAACTCAGATTCTCCTCCCGCACAATTGGCCAGACTTGCTGAATATTTCCTTTATTCACTCTCGGGACGTGGGAGTCAATGACTAGGCCATCCCTCGATACTCAGTGAGTAGTTAAGAGTCGACATGTAGGGTAGGAAACAGATTTACCTCCCTGTAGGCCTTCAGTAAACCAGATGGGTTTTTATAATAGTCGACGATGGTGATGTGGTTGCCATTAGACTGGCTTTCATTAAAGTCCAGCTTTATATTGAAACTGAATTTTACCAGCTGCCATGGTGAAATTTGAACCCATGTCCTTAGAACATTAGCCAGGCTTCTGGATTAGCCCAATAATATTCCCACAATGCTACAGCCTCCCCTCAGCCGGTTCTGTCTTTGTTTCAGATCTCCAGCATCCACAATGTTTTAGAATAATACATTACAGAAGAGCTTCTTCAGATACAGGGTTAAAGCATTGCCTCAGAGGGCTGATCAAGAAGGTGCGTAGCATGCCTGCAATCTTATTTTCCACTGTGTAGATCTCTGAAGGCTTTGTGCAGAAGGGGCTTCTGCGTGCAGAGGTCAACGTGTCAATGAGCCAATCGGGGGTTATGGGGTCCTCCCAGCAGCTGTGTGGCCACACAGCTCAGAGAGAACGATGGTGAAGCAGAGTACAGAAACATCCCTTAGCATATAAACCAGAGACAAATTAGATTAGGCATTCCTCGACTGATGGAACCTGATGTTTAGACAACACTCCAGATGGATCCAATCCCAATCTAGAGCGATCCTCTTGCATACACATTCTCACCTTTCCATAAACAGGATTAGCTGCAGCCAGAACACTGCACCTGGCGTTCAGTCTGGCATGAATGCCTGCTTTCGCAATGGTCACACGTCCCTGCTCCATCACCTCATGGATGGCCGTACGGTCCAAATCAGACATCTTGTCAAACTCGTCTATGCAGACTACCCCTCGGTCTGCCAAAACCATAGCTCCAGCCTCCAGCCGCCTCTCTCCTGGCAAAGAGAAAAAGGACAATCAGAAGCCTGCTTTTAAACAGCACACTCTCGCAACAGCGCGGCACAATATTACTTTGAGAGATCCGGAAGGAAATGACTCTTGTTTCTCCATAATTCATGTTACTGGGCCAACAAATCACTCTTTAGCAGATAGACAGAATTAACAAGAGCCACCAATGAAAACCTTTACATCTCAGCAGTAATACACCTTGATGCTGTCATATTAGCAGACCTTAGCTTTGGCAGTGCAACTGATTAATCTTGTGCATACAGTGGTTTCCTCACTTTTGTTAAACATTCTGCAGTTACTACAGAGGTGGTAATTAAAAGCCAGCTGAGACTGATCTATCCTCTCCTTTCACTGTTTCAGTACTGGACAGAAACATGCATCATCAGAGACACAACCTTGTGAGTCAACGGAAAGCGCACAGTCAACCACTGTTCCTCTATGGTGTTTGACTTACCAAACTCCTTTGTCACATAAATCCAAATTGAATGTAACTGCATCCAGAGCCATTCTTAAACAAGATGAAAGCAACAGGTGTTGCTAGTCTGTACTAGGGCACAGGCCTGTCTTAAAGATGTACAGATTAAATCAACACAGAAGGGCTCTTCTGGAGCAGTGGTACCATCCCTCTCTCTCGACCAGAAGGCCAGGGTTCAAGTCCCACCTGCTCCAGAGGTTTGTGACATCTCTGAACAAGGGCAATTTTTTTTTTAAAACACAGAGGGTGGTTTGTGTGTGGAATGAACTTCCTAAGGAAGTGGTGGATGTGGACAAAGGTTGGGAGGGATATGGGCCAGGAGCAGGCAGGTTGGACGAGTTTAATTTGGGATTACATTTGGCATGAACTGGTTTGACTCTATAACAAGTTGAGGAGAAAATAAAAAAGCAATGCATTTGGAACAGTGAACACATGGTGCTGAGGTATATCAGCCAACCACACCTCCAAGTGGCAGCAACAAATACTGCAAGCAGTATTATGGGACCCGCCTCTGAACACCTAAAGCCCCATCCCCATCCCCATCCCCACACCATTTACCAGAATCAGACTGAAACCAGACTCCAATCTGAAACATGACATCCTGTGGGAGAAACGTTGAATCTTTACAAATACAGGCAGGCCCCAGGTTGCAAACAGGTTGTGTTCTAGAATCTGTTAACAAGTCGATTTGTAGACAAGTCAGAGCACAATGCAGGACAATGAAAAGTTCTGAGGAAGAGTCACTAGGCCCAAAACGTTTTTTCTTCACAGATGCTGCCAGACCCACTGAGCTTTTCTAGCTACTTCTGCTTTTGTTCCTGACTTACAGCATCCACAGTTCTTTCAGTTTTTAATGAAAAGTTTCTGTTCGTACATACCAGAAATGTTGGGTTTTTTTTATAAATTTAAAGTACATATGGGGTCACATTCTTAAACAGGACATTTGTAAAGTAGGGACCCCTGCATTGAAAATTGGTCTTAAAAAACATAAACACATCCCTTTGCCAACAAAGGAAGCTGTGGGGCCATTATAACAATGCCTCATGACATTTCATAATATTCCTAATCCAGGCTCATATGAATAAGGAACAAGAACAGGTCACTCAGTCCTCCAAGCTGTTCCGCCATTCGATAAGATTGTAGCTCACGTGATTTTAATCTCAACTTTACATTCCTGCATGTCCCTGATAATCTTTGATCTCTGCATAATCAAGAATCTACCTCCTTCTGCCATAGAAAAATTGAACAATTCTGCATCCGCTGTCTTTTGAGGAAGGGAATTCCAAAGATGCTCAACCCTCTGAGAAAGTGTTTCCTCATCTCAACCATGCTCACTCCACGTGACTGCCTTCATTCCATTTTAAAAACGGGTTAGTTCTACAATCCCTCCCTTCCTCCCGCTCTCCCTCACACTGCTTCCAAGTCAGCATCACAGGCTGATCAACAACTCTTGGTTAGAAACAAAACTGCAGATGCCAAAATCCGAGGTAGATAAACAGGAGGCTAAAAGAACACAGCAAGCCAGAGAGCATCTGGAAGAAAGGAGAAGTCAACATTCTGGATATTACCCTTCTTAAGGGCTCTTACTTCAGAACTCTTACCAGTTTCTTGATCAGTGGTCACTGCGGCAGTCAAACCCACACCAGTGGAGCCTCGACCAGTGGTTGGAATAGCACGTGGAGCACTGAAGAGTACGTAACGTAGGAGCTGGGATTTAGCCACGGATGGATCACCTGGTTCGGGAAAAAACAGCATAGTAAGCTAGACTAAGATAACAAGGTGTAGAGCTGGATGAACACAGCAGGCCAAGCAGCATCAGAGGAGCAGGAAAGCTGATCTTTCGGGTCTGGACCCTTCTTCAGAAAATGAAGCTAGTAAGCCAGACTGCTTCTTTCGGTCAATTTTGGAAAGTGCGCATTGGAGGACAAAGCCAGCTGCTTCTGCACCTAGACCCAGTGTCCTTAGGGAGGGATTTCCAGGATATTGGCCCAGCGACAGTGAAGGAACACCAATATATTTTCAGGTCAGGATGGTAAGCAGCTTGGAGGGGAACATGCAGGGGATGGTGTTCCCATGTAGCTGCTGTCCTTGTCCTTCTGGATGGAAGTGGTCATGAATTGTTGCAGTGCATCCTGTAGATGGCGCACGCTGCTGCTAAGAGGGGTGAATGGTGAAGATGCTGGATGGTGTGCCAATTACGCAGGCTGCTTTATCCTACATATTTTTGATAATCAATAGTGCCATGGCTGCCATCAACCTAGTGCTTTACTCCAGATTCAGAAGGAATTAAACTTTAATCATCTGCTATTGTGGGATTTGAACCTGTGTCCTTCGAGAATTAGCCTGCGTTTCTGGATTACTAGTCCAGTGACATTCCAACATCCTCCCCATTGCAGTCACATCCTGGAACTGAGGTGACTGACCAACAACAATTACAACCATCATCCTTTATGTCAGGTATGACTCCAGCTAGAAAGTTTTCCTGCTCATTCTCACTGATTCCAGTTTTGCTCAGGCTCTTTGGTGCCACACTCGATCAAATGCTGCCTTGATGTGAAGGGCAGTCATCTCACCTAACTTTGGGAGTTCAGCTCTCTTATTTGGACCAAGGCTGTGACATTACTGCTACAAATGCCTCCCACACTGTGATGTTGGAGCTGCAGTCATTGAGAAAAGTGGAAAGTGTTCCATCACACTGCTGGCCCACACTGTCCAGGAAGATATTCAGACTTAGCCATGAATGTTTTCATCAGGAACCCAGCCACTTCCTATACAGTGAAGAGTAGAATTTAACGCAGCACTCAGCAAAACAGTCTGCATGCCTTACCTATTAACAAGACATTGATGTCACCACGAATCCTGCTCCCATTCTCGAGCACTTTCTCCGATCCACCCAACAACAGGCATAGGATTGCCTTCTTGATGTACTCATGCCCATGAATACTGGGGGCTAGGGACCTAGCAAGCTGCTCAAAGATGTCCTAGCAACAGAGAAGTAGATTGCAGTGTGAATCAACGCAGTCGTCCCAGTGGATGTAAATGATTAAGGAAATGCTGTGAACCAATGGAATATAACTAAACACGTAGTCACCCATCAAAATACTTAACCAGTTTGACTCAGATCCCAGGGAAAGAAAAACACATACCTGATAACCCCCCCAGAAATGTTTCAACAAGGGAAAATAAAGATTTGACTCTAAAGTAAAATTTTCCACCATAAGGATGACATGTTCATTATTCAAGAAGCATTAACTATGTTGAAGATTCACTTTATTAGAGAGAATGTCTGTTTTATGGTGTTATTTACTACAGATATGAAGTATACAGGGAGGAGTGATAAATTCACCAACTCCTACCTTTGAACGAGATTTGCTAAATTTCTTGATTTTGGCCACATCATCTGCAGAAAACATCGGCGACACCTCTTTGCTCATCATCTTGATGTTACACGCAATCAGGATTGTCCTGCAGAAAACAGCTTTGTTACATAGCTTCCATCTCTGCCAAAACTGCATTCAGTTCAATTTCTTGCCCTCATTCTCTCCTGTTATTCACAGCATTAGCAGCTACTTAACCAAACAATCCTAAAGGTGTAAAACATCACATTTCTTTGTCCCTGTGGAACCCCATAATTGAATCATTTAGGAGCAGATTAAATTGAATAATCTCCCTGTTATTTCACAGAGATGATGTGATTGACACATTAGAGATTGTGAGGTGAGGACACGGTCTGGGATTCCTCAATCTCTGATTTTAACATTAACTCTGGTACACAGAAAAGAAAGTAGACAAGCTGAATAAGTAAATTTAAAAAGTAGCAAAGTGACGAGGAAAGGCGTTTTCTCAGTGGCTGAAAATCACGGCCTGAGTGTGGCAGTGGCAGATTCAATCACAGCTTTCATAAGAGAATTCGGTGTTTTGAAAAGGAACCGTGTACTCTGCTTTGGGGAAATGGTGGAAGAATGGCAATAGATGAAGACGCTCATTTGGAGAGTCAGCACAGAGACGGTGGGCGGAATGCCTTCCTTAGGCACTGTAACAATTCAGTGTTTCTCTACCTCCAATTCATAAGATACAAGTAACATCCCAGAAATAATTGTGAATCAGGAGGTAAAGGAGAGGGAGGAACATAAAACAATTACCAGGGCAAAGGTACCGAAAAAAAATGTTAGAACTAAAATCTGTCAAGTCCCTGAATCCTTACTGACTTCATTGGTAGTGGGGAAAATTCTCTAATCCATTATCAAGGACTTTATAGTGGAACATTTAGAAAGGAGCGACAGGATCAGACAGAGTGAGCATGGATTGAAGAAGGGTAAATCATGCTTGTCGAGTCTGTTGGAATTTTATGAAGATGTAACTAGTTAAGGTGACAAGGAGGGTACACAATGTGGTATATTTGGACTTTCAGAAAGTGTTTGACAAAGTCCCGCATAAGAGATTATTGTGCAAGATTAAAGCACATGGGATTGGGAGAAGTGTATTGAGATGGATAGAAAACTAGTTGGCAGAGACGAAACAAAGAGTAGGAATTAATGGGACCTTTTCAAATTGGCAGGCAGTAATTAGCGGGATGCCACAGGGATCTGTGCTGGGACCCCAGCTATTCACAATGTATACTACTGATTTGGATGAGGGAACATCTCAAAGTTTGCAGATGACACCAACTTGGGTGGGAGGGTGAACTGGGACCAAGATGCAGAGATCTTTCAGCATGATCTGGACAGATTGGGTGAGTGAGCAAATCAATGGCAAATGCATTATAATTTGGATAAATGTGAGGTTATTCACTTCAGAAGCAAAAACAAGGCAGATTACTGTCTGAATGGCTGTAACTTGAGAGAGGGTAGTGTGCAACAGGAGCCAGGTATCCTTGTGCACCATTCGCTGAAGGTAAGCATGCAGGGGAAGCAGGCGGTAAAGAAGGTAAATGGTATGGTGGCCTTCATTGCGAGAGGTTTCGAGTACAGGAGCAGGGATGTGTTGTTGCAGTTATACAGGGCCTCGGTGAGACCGCACCTAGAATATTCCGTACAGACTTGGCCTCCTTTTCTGAGGAAGGATGCTCTTGCTCTTGAGAGAGTGCAGCGAAGGTTTACCAGGCTGATTCCAGGGATGGCCGGACTGACGAATGAGGAGAGACTGACTAGGTCAGAGACAACAAGGTGCAGGGCTGGATGAACACAGCAGGCCAAGCAGCATCATAGGAGCAGAAAGGCTGACGTTTCCGGCCTAGATTTTCTGATGAAGGGTCTAGGCCCGAAACGTCAGCCTTTCTGCTCCTATGATGCTGCTTGGCCTGCTGTGTTCATCCAGCCCTGCACCTTGTCTCGGATTCTCTAGCATCTGCAGTTCCTCCCATCTCTGACTAGGTCAGGATTGGTTTTGCTGGAATTCAGACAAATGAGGGGGGATCTCACAGAGACGTACAAAATTCTAACAGGACTAGACAGGGTAGATGCAGAGAGGATGTTCCTGATGATGGGCGTGTCCAGAACCAGGGATCACAGTCTGAGGATTCAGGGTAGACCATTTAGGATGGAGATGAGGAGACATTTCTTCACCCAAAGAGTGGGGAGCTTGTGGAATGCATTACCACAGGAAGTAGTTGATGCCAAAACATTGAATGTATTCAAAAGACGACTAGATATAGCACTTGGGGCGAATGGGATCAAAGGTTATGAGGAGAAAGCAGGATTCGGCTATTGAATTAGACGATCAGCCATGATCATAATGAATGGCGGAGCAGGCTCGAAGGGCTGAAATAGCCTCCTCCTGCTCCTATCTTCTACGTTACATCCCAGGCTCATTTAAAAAAAAAATAAGCTGCTGAAATAGTACATGCTTCAATTTTTCAAAATTCTCTAGATTCTGGAAAGGTCCCATCAGATTGGAAAGTAGAAATTTGAATTTCTTATTCAAGAGACCAAGACAGAAAGCAAGAAACCACAGGTCATTTAGCTTAACATTGACCACAGAGCCAGAATCGACTGTTAACGAGGTTGTAGCAGCACATTTAGTAAACCTCAACATGATCAGGTACAGTCAAAATGGCTTTATAAGACAGAAATCATGTTTTGACTAATTTATCATAGCTCTTTGAGGAAGTAAGAAAGTAATGCATAGAAACGGAAATCTGTGGATGAGCTGAAGTTAGATGTCCAATCACTATCTGACAAAGTGCCACAATGGTTACTATGCACAATAAGAACTCATGGTATAGGTGGCAACATATCAGCATGAACCGAGGATTAGTTAGCTAACAAACAATAAAGGAGGCAGAAGTGAATAATTCTCAAGTTGCAATACTGAAAATAATGGAGTACCACAGTGATCAGTGCTGGGTGGTTCAAATAATTACAATTTTTCTCAACAAAGGAACCAAAGTATGCTTATTAAATCTGCTGATTACACAAAGATAGAAAGGATAGCAAGTTACGAATAGGACATAAGCTGACTATATCATTTACAGACTTAAGTGAATGGCTAAAAGATTTACAGTAGTCATACTGCTTATTACTGGAACCATATCTGGAGTACTGAGTACAGTTTTGGTCTCCTAAATTAATGGATGTAAATGCATTAAAAGCAGCTCAAAAAACGTTCATAAAACTGAAACCCAAGATAGAGAAGATACCTTGAGATGAAAAAGATATCTTAAGAGGAAAGGTTGGGATAGTATCCATTGGTGTTAGAAGGACGATCTTATTGAAAGATACAACATCCCAAGGAGACTTGACAGGTGGGTGCTGAAAAGATGTTTCTGCTTATGAAAGAAACTAGAACCGTGGAGTTAAAAATAAGGCTTGCCCAGTTAAGACATTGGTGAGACAAATTTCTCCGAGGTTATGAATCTTTGGAACTCTTCCCAGAGAGCGATGGACGGTTAATGAATTCTGTCAAGGCAGAGGTAGATATATAACTGACTAACAAGGTTATCACGAGTGATCAGAAATGTGGATTCAAGGCTGCAATCAAATCAGCCGTGGTCCTACTGAATGGTAGAGCAATTCGAGCAGCCTGCCCCAAATGTTTGTGTTTGTATGATCTGTCCTCCCTCGCCAGTGATAAATATTGTTGGCACCTTGCCTCACTGAACATACCTGAAAGTTCCTGAGGTGTAGCCATTCTTTTTCCCAGGCAGACAGCGGTAGGTGCCTATGACCTGCACTCGGTCCCCAGGCTTCACCACATCCACCAGGTCATTATCCAGAATGACATCAACCGAGCGGGGCAGCTGGCCAGCAGGAGCCTTCTCAGGCATCTCCTGAATGGTTATTGTTTGGTGGTCTTTGTATGAGGACAGTCCAAATTCAGTTTCCAAGGGATTATTCTCCTCATCCTACAGGACAGGGATACACAGATACTTACAGAACTCTCAAGCAGCAATGATTATTTAGCTTCTTGCCAGTACTCTTCCAAATCAAATATCACTGTAACTACAGGCAGAATTTCCAGATGCCAGACATCACTTTGCAACCCACAGCAAACACCAAACACATTATCTAGTCATAGACAGTGGTGTAAGGGTAACGTCCCTGGACTTGTAACCCAGAGACTCTCTGATTAATGTTCTGGAAACATGCTGGTGGAATTTAAACTCAATTAATGAAACGTGAAACAAAGTTAACCTCAGTGATGGCAATCATGACAGAATACCATCAAATGCTGTAAAAACCCACTGGATTTGTTAATGGTCTCTCTAATTCCAGACCTACAGCAATGCAGTTGACTCTAAATTGCCTTTTGAAATGGCCTTGCCAGTGATTGATTTGGGTAACTCACCTATCACAATCTCAAAGTCAGAAGCAGACAGTCTTAAGCATAATATTGGAAAAGGGAGTGTTGACAGTGATATGGCAAGTACTTCCATGCGAAGATGGAACTACAACAGCAAATACTAAAACCACACATTAATCCAGTTTCCACACTTGATGTAGAAGCCGAGACATTCACCACAATGCTGAACACTGTGCAGTCATTGGCAAATCCCCACTTCGAATGGTATTAAGGCAGCATGACAAAGTGAGTTAATACAGTGTGGAGCTAGAGGAACACAGGAAGTCAGGCAGCAGAGGAACAGGAAAGTCGACATTTTGGACCGGGACCTTTCATACTTCTTGTAATCTCTCAGCATGACAAAGTGAGTCTCTCCCCTCATCCCTGGAGTTCCAATCTGTTGTCTATATTTAGTGGTGTATGTTTCAATGTCTTTGTCCATCTCCCTTGGCATGAGTGTGCTGGTCAGTCGCTGTGTCAATCCCACAGAGGGAACACGTGTCAGTCAGGCGCTAGGTATGACTCCAGACAACAGTATTCCCCAATTTTTAATCATGAGTTTTGCTCTGGCCCCTTCAATCAAATTCAATACCTCAGTCAAAAGGTTGCCTTGATGTCAAGGGCAGTCACTCAGGGTACCACTGGATGAGGCCAAGATCAATCATACATTTGACACTTCTGGCTGAAGACTGCAGTAAACGTTTCAGCCTTGTCTTTTGCCGTGATACCTGGGGTCCCCCATCATTGAAGGGTATTTGTGGAGCCTCCTTTTACTTTTTTTTAAAATCAGCACTCCTGACTGGAAATGGCATCAGATCGGCTCGTTGTGGTACTGCTTAACTCTATCACTTTTGCTTATGCTGTTTGGCACACAAACAATCCTGCTTTGCAGCTTCACCAGGTTGATGCCTCATTTTCAGGTATGCCTGCTGCTGCTCCTGGCATGCCCTCATGCACTCTCCACTGAAACAGGGTTGATCCCCTGGCTTGATGGTAAAGGTTGAATCAGCTGCTGATGGCTCTCAGATGCCCAGTCTTAAGGAGTTGGACCTATTCGAAATCTGTACTATGTAACATGGTGGTATTACTGCATAACATAAGGGAAGAGAATGCTTAATGCAAAGATGGTGTCATTCTTGCCAATATAGTCACAGACAAATGCCTCTGTGACGAGTAGGTTGGCGAGGACAAGGCGAGAACAATTGGGGCAGCACAGCGGCTCAGTGGTTAGCACTGCTGCCTACTAGCACCAGGGACCCAGGTTCGATTCCAACCTCAGGTGACCCCTGTTTCTGCAAGGGTTTCCTCCGGGTTCTCTGGTTTCCTCCCACAGTCCAAAGATGTGCAGGTTAGGTGGATTGGATATGCTACATTGCCCAGTGTCCAGAAATGTGCAGGCTAGATGGGTTAGCCATGGGAAATGCAGCATTACTGGGACAGGGTGTGGGGTGGGTCTGGGTGGGATGCTGTTTGGTGTGGACTTGGTGAGCCGAATGGCTTGCTTCCATGCTATAGGGCTTCAATGATTCTAAAGATCAAATGGATTCTTTCCTCATCACCTTCTACTCAGCTCAGCATCTATGTCCTTAATGGGACAGGTCAGTAGACACAAAGTATGTTCTCTGTCCTTGCCAACCTCCGGTGCACCCATCAAGTTTTGTGAACTTGCTGGGAGGGCTTTTGCATCAACTGAGGGGTGGATGAATGGAGGTGTGCGCGCGCAGTGTGGTGTCAGTGTGCATACTAAGCAGGCTTGTTGCCCACATTTGACCTGATATCTCGGACCTCACGAGGTCTGGAGTCAATGTTGAGGTTCCCCAGGGCATTAATCTCTTGACTCTATATCAATTTAATGCCACATCCGGTGGTGGCTGGGAAATTGGGACATATTAGCTGCCTGAATATAACCTTGTCAGGTTGTTTCTCAAACGAGCATGAGACAGCTTTCCCAATTTTGGCAAAGATGTTGGTAAGGAGATCTTTCTCAGGTTTGATCCAGCTGTATTTGCCATTATTGATGCAGTTTCAAATGATAAGTTTAACTCTTGCACAGCCCACAGCCAGCAATAATCGCCCCACCATTATTGCATAGCTCAGAAACCCTGCACTGCGTGAGAACTGAAATACACTGAGTTCCAGAGATCCAACCCTGAAACCATTCCAGCCCCTTCACGCTATGCTGCAGAAACCTCACCTTGGTTGGGTAAATAGCGCTGGAGGGGAAGGCCTCAAGAGATGTCATATCCGTATACTTGCGTTCAATGGTTTTTTTTGTAGCTGGACAGTAATGGACACTACGGACCACTTTGGGACGCACCAGCGAACCTGCAATGAGAACCAACAGCAGTGGTGATAAATCCTGTTTAAGGACAATGACAGCTCATTGAGATATGGTGCGTAGGAGACAAGAGTTTACACTGTCAAAGGAGGAAAAAAAAAGACATTACATTTACACCCGAGCTCATTGTGCCGTATCCCAGCAAAAATATTCAAGCTATTTTAAAACACAACCTATTCAATCATCTGATACAAGCAAGATCTCAAATAACATCTACCAATCAACAAACATCTGGCAGCATTGATCGAAGCAAAAAGTTGATTGCATCCCCAAGGAGACTCCCTGCTCCTCTTCAAATGGTGCTTAAAGATCTTTCAAAAACATCTGAACCACTTGAAAAAGCAGTGAGTATTCAGTTTAAGGTTACCACTGACGAACCGTTCTCACAATACAGCACTAAGTTACAAACTGACTATTAACAAGCTCATTTTCCTCAATCAATGAGAACCAACTGCAAGGAGTGTTCGCCTGAAGTCACGAACAAAACAAAACGCAAACACAGAGCAGCACCCAGTCTCACCCGATCAGAGACTCACATTTGATCACAATCCCCTCCACACACACAACGTTGCTGAGAAACCGAGAGGTCAAGGTCCGTGGGCTGACATGGTTGGACCCAAAGCTGCCTTCCAGTCCAATGTAGAAATCCTCAAATTGCTTGGCATAGGTGGCATCAATTGAGGCAACAAAGTCCTTCAGAGCTCGCTGGAAGGCCAGGAGTTCTTCAAAGGAATTGCTCAGCAGTCTGAGAGAAAATTAGACAAAGGTTAACTGGCTCAGTGTATCTGCATCAGGTTTTCAAATGTTAAAGATATGCTACCCCAACCCCGAGTAGTGAGGGTAGTAAGGGTCAGTAACAAGAGATGACAGATTTAGAATGATAAAAGAACCAAGGGGACATGAGGAGGTTTCTTTTAAGAGAAAAGTGTGCTTTGATGTGGAATGCACTCAAAGGTGATAGCTACAGATTCAGTGATAGCTCCTAAAAGGTATCAATTCAATGTTTGCAGGAAGGTGGTGACAGAGCTAACTACTGGGGCTTAATGGATAGATCCTTTAAAGAGCCAGTATGAGCACAGGCTGAATTGTCTCCTGGGGTGCTGTACATCTCTTGGAACAAGAGATTGGAACATCCACATCAATCCAACAACATACACTTCATGATCATTCTGCCGCCTCAAGCACATTTAAAACATATGTTTCAAACAGATAAGAAACTTCCTCACTCGGGGGATTGAGTCTCTCTGGAGTTTGTTTTACTTTCCCCCCTAACTATTCACAGGACATGGACACTGCTGGTTTGGGCAGCATTTATTGCCCATTTCTAATTGTCATGGAGAAAAGTGTCAGAAAGCTCCCCAAGAGAGCATGAGTTGCTTCATTATGTACTGAGATAGAGTAATGGAATATAAAACCCAGATAAGAAAAAGTGGCAGTTGATATTGAAAATCAATTATTATCGCACTGAATGGCAGAGCATGCTCAGGCACACTAAAGTCCTATTTAGCAAGATTTTTAACATCAGGCAAGAAGAGTATACAGTAATGGGGACTGTGGAAGTGAAGTGGGCTCAGGTTAGACAACTGAGCAAGGTACTTGTTTCAGAGATAGTAGGAACTGCAGATGCTGGCAAATCTGAGATAACAAGGTGTAGAGCTGGATGAACACAGCAGGCCAAGCAACATCAGAGGAGCAGGAAGGCTGACGTTTCAGGCCTAGACGCATTTCTGAAGGAGGGTCTAGGCCCGAATCGTCAGCCTTCCTGCTCCTCTGATGCTGCTTGGCCTGCTATGTTCATCCAGCTCTACACCTTGTTATCTGAACAAGGTACTTACTGTGTTGCTCTTTTCTCATTCTTCCTGCGCAGGTCATTGATGTTGACGATCAGTCGGTACAAGTTGTCACTGATCATGTCCCTCACCTTACTTTGGTAAATCCCCTGGTCTTGCTGTTGGCAAGAATGCAAAAAACCTTAGTCTGAAATTCTTTCAGCTGGTCCTTTACTCCTCAAAAGCTTACCAAACCAACTGATTAAATCATCATCAGGGATACAACCATCTTTGATGTAGGTGACTGCTTTCAAATTGGACTCATTTGGTTATGTCAGGGGCAGCTTCACCCAAGAAGAGGTGCACAATTAATGAAATAAAAACAAAATGCTGTTGAAACATGGCAGGTCTGGCAGCATCTTTGGAACCACTGGTTTTTTTTTTAAAATTCACTTGTAAGATGTAGGCATTATTGGCCAGGCCAGCATTTATTGCCCGTCCCTAGTTGTCCTTGAGGTGTTGGTGAGCTGCCCTCTTAAACTGCTGCAATTCACGTGCTGTAGGTTCTTTTGAATAAGATATCAGACACAAAATGTTAATGCTGCCAGACCTGCTGAGATTTTCCAGCACTCTTTGTATGTTGGTTTCAGCATGGTGACAGAATAACTATGAATCTTTCTGAGGCAGAGATAGACAGATACTTGATAAGCGAGGAGAGAAGAAATGTTTATGCGGGTAGTCGGGAAACAAAAGCAATCTGATCAGCTTTGATGTTGCTGAAAGACAGAGCAGGATTGAGGGACTGAATGGTCTCCTCCGCTCCTCGTTTGTGTGCTCTCGTGTATACTTAAGATGAACGTTTGAAATGGAGTCAAATTATGAACGGAGGGAACAGAGAATGGTGTCAGGTAAACACTGCTGGATTTTGCTTGGCAACTGGGAAGGGGTACAGGAATAGAAATCAGAAGCCAGGAGCACTGGATGAAGTGTCACTGGACGCAACACATTGAGTTTCACCAGCAAATTCTGTTTCTGTTCGTTTCAGATCTGCAGCAGCTGTACTTGCTTGTTTTACTTTAAGCCAGGAGACAGACAGACATTCAGGTTTCAGGACAAAAGGGTCACCTGAAGCACAACAAAAGTGAGTGGAGGGTTGTGGAATGGGGCGGGGGGGGGGGGGGGAGGAAGGGGGAGGGCGAGTGTGGGGTATAAGGGAGGGGAAGTGGGCATGGGAGAGTGCGGGGGAGGGGTTGGGTAAGGGGAGAGAAAATGGGGGAGGGGTGTGGAAAGTGGGGTGGGAGGGTCAGGGTGAACAAGGCGGACGGGCCAAGTGGTCGCACCCCTCCCGGGGAGGGGTACAGGAAACTCATGCCCATGGGGTGGGATAGGCGCCCAGCCCAGTCCCTCGGCCCATCTCTCCCTCTTCCACTCCCCCCACCTCATCGCCGGCGTTGACCCCTATCGCCCCCACCTCATCATCCAGGAAGTCGAGGTATTGTCTCTGAGCCTCCCTCAGAACCGGATCCTCCACCGCTGCCATTTCCACCGCCGCCGCTTTCCCGCCAAACTGAGTCACGTGAGACCGCCTTCCGCGCGAAAAACCCGGGACCAATCGGAGAATGCACCGCAGTCACATTGACACGCACTGCCCCGCCCCATCGCCACAGGGCCCTGCCTCATGGACACAGACCCCGCCCCCTGGACACAAACCCCGCCCCATGGCCACAGTGCCCTGCCTCATGGACATAGACCCCGCCCCCTGGACACAAACCCCGCCCCATGGCC